TTTCCCTGCTTCAGCATGGGTCCTTCCCATGGGGTACAGTCCTTCACAAACTGCTCCAGCATGGCTCCCTTCCATGGGCCACAGTTTCTGCCAGAAAATCTGCTCCTGCATGGGCTCCTCTCCAAAGGCTGCAGTCCCCGCCAGGAGCCTGCTCTGGCATGGGCTCTCCATGGGCTGCAAAGTAGGTATTTGCTCCAGCATGGTCCTCACCACGGGCTGCAGGGTGGACATCTGCCCCGCACGAGGAGTGCCTCCTCCCCTCCTTCTTCTCTGGACCTTGGTGTTCACAGAGCTGTTTCTCACTTCCCCCCCCCTCTCTTCACCCCTCTCAGAGCTGCTGGGCAGCATTTTGCCCTTTCTTAAATACATTTCCCCCAAGGCACCACCAGCTTGGCTGGTGGACTCAGTCTTGGCCAGCAGTGGGTCCATTTTGGGGCTAGCTGGAACTGGCTGCATTCAGCACAGGTGCAGCCCCGGCCTCTTCTTACAGAGACCAGCCCTACACCAACACCACTGCTAACACCTTGCCACCTACACCCAATACAGTATTTCATTAGCTGAAGTGAAATACCAACTTAAAAGTGGTTTAAAAGATCCAGTGCATTGCTTGATATGTAGGGCTTCTTAATAACTCCTACCTATTTACTCAGAATATACATCATTTTCTGACTAGTACGCCCAGGTGACAGAGTCCTCTCCACCCTGTACCTCCAGCCACAGCATGCACACACCTGTGATCTATACCTCTGAGCTTCGTTGTCCTCTACTGATGTCCAGAATAGTAACTACTTACTTCTACTGCCTCAGATTAACCAACTGACACTTTCTGACTGTTAATCTAGACAGTCATTCTACATGGCATAAGTATCCTGCCATAGCTATGCTAATCTATCTTCAGGCAGACAAACTTGAGGCAACAATTTCACCAATCCAGAAGAAATTTCAGTTCACTTAATATAGGGCCCTAGAGGAATCTTGGCTTTAGCATTACTCTTGTTGCAGTGCTTTACATCTATCTCAGATAGTAGATATACTTTTAACATATCCAGACAATCTGGTGAGCAAGGAGCAGACATTTTTATATAGTCACATTTCACTTCTAAAACAGAGGCCCAATTCCTGGCAAACACCCAGTGCCTAAAACGTCACATTAAGATTTCTGAGATTACCAAAGGAAAAGCACGTGCTTTCTTTACTAAGCAAGTACAGAGCCTTTGCTGCAAATGACTCAACAACATTATCAAGCACAGGCCAATCGAGCAGGTGCTACTCCAATACTCCAGTACAGTTTTCAGTTTGCTAAGATGTAATGAACTCTTATTTTATGCTAGGAAATGCAATCTAACATCTCCAGGCCAAGACACACATTTATGAATGGCCTCTCTTGTTACACAGCTACAGCTGAGCCACTGACCTCACTGTAAAAGACACAGCACTGTCAGACTGAGTGCAGTCAAAGAGATGGAGCAAGGCATACAGCAAACAGCACTGGCACAGCCTGTAACTACCTAACTGCTTACCACATAAGTTGTCTTTTAAAAAAAAAAAAAATACAGCACAATTTAAAAACATCTTCCCCCCAAGGTCAGTGGAATATCCTGAAAAAGCACATGGTAAAACAGATTTCTGTGAACACAGGAATCTCATGTATAATGGAAAGCTAAGGTCATGATTCAACTCAGCAATACCCTATCCTTTTCTGGCAGCTGCTGCCTTGCTGGAGTGGATGCCAGATGTCAGAGAACTTGCCACTTCACAAAAAAACCCCAACCAAACAGAAAAAAAAAAATCAACACATTTCTGGCCAAATTCCTCACTCACCTTTCTGCTGCACAAAAAAATAACATCTGAGAGAAATACTATATTAAAACAGCGCACATTCTTACTTTAGCTTTAAGCACTTCACAATTAATTTTTTTAACCAAAGTGTCAACCACTGATAGCTAAAGCAATACAGGACAGAAGTTGAAGTAAGTGTATAGACCTGTGGCTACTTAGCACATTTATATTTTTCAGTTTACAAGTGTCTACGAACAAAATTGTAAATAAATGAAAACTAATAAAGTTGTAAACGTATTATGAATGCATAACTAAGAACAGAATCCCATTATTTGTTTCTCATGGAGGTACTTCAGCATGAGAACTGCACCAAAGACATTCCAGTTGAAGCTTCCTTAGGCATGAAGAGATTTTACTTTTTTTTTTTATTTTATTTTTACAGTCTTATCTCAGTAAGGATTACAAATTGTCAGCTCCTACTGCAAAGACAGCTATCGAGACACTGTGTAGGTGGCATGATTTTGTTAAGCTATTAAATGTACAGGAGCTTTTCAATGTTAGAGCACAGTTTACATCTACGCAGATTTTCAACCAATCTGCAGATGGATTTTTATGCAGGAGGAAAGTTTCAAACATACAATTTAAGAGCTCTAACTCACATCCTTTGGAAGTGTTATGGCCTAGAACAGCGTTTGACAGAATTCAAAACTGTTCCAACAATTCTAGTTCAACCTAGCAACAAGCAATTTTAATCAAATGCTTGTGGAAGTAATTCTAAAAACATATCCTCTGAGAATCAGGATACTATTAAACCTTTTGGACAAGCAGCGCTGTAAAATTCCAGGCAGTCGGAGATAGTGTATCACTCTTCCTCACACTCAGTTACTAATCTCTTTTCCCCATCTCACTGGATCTTGGTGGGCAGTCCAGAGAACTAAAGGTGAGATGTGACATGGACTCCTCCTCTCCTACTCCCTCAGGGTTAAAGAGCTCCCGTTCCTCTACAACCCTCCTCCTCTTCACTCAAGCAGCAGCCAGGCTTTAGCTCTTTCCAGGAACAAGAGAAGGTCAAGGGGGATTGATACTTCACTCAGAAGCAGAGTAGGGGAAAGTGGCTCCTTTCCAACCCTTCACTTCTCATTACTGTGCAGGTGTTACCCCTCCCCATCTCACTGAACTAGCTGGAAGAGTTCAGAAGTCAGCTACAGGACTGAAGACTGAGGAGGACACAAGATTAGTGCTGCAGATGCCCCAGCAACATCGGATCCAAAAAATTTGCTATTATTTATAATTGTGTACATTTAGAATCATCATGGTATCAGTTTAAAAGGATTATCTGAATTATAATGCATGACAACTTTATCCCACAATTCACTGCCTGACGAATAAATATTACCCAGTTGTTGCTCCCAGCAGCAGCACTGCATATATGCTAAAAAAAAAAATATTTAAAGACACCAAGATGACATAATCATAGCTGTAAGGCATGTTACTTGTAGGTATGCTAAAGCACTTCCAACAGAAGAAAGAAAAGCACAGAGACACAATACTTATAAAAACCCCTAGATATGTCAAAAACTATAAAGAAAAAAGTGATGGAAGCTCTCTCCCATTGTTTTACAGTATTTTCAAGGTCCCATTTATACACAGTGCAAAAACCACAGCCTCTGAAGCAAAAAAACAGCTAGCCCAGTTGCACACCTGCTGGGTGTCTTTTGGACTAAGTATTTGCCTAAACAAGTAGGTTTTTAACAGAACTCTTTCATCAAAGCAGGCAGGCATTTGACCAGGCTTCAGAATCCCCAGACATACCACCTTCAAACTAGCAAAACACAAATTCACCAAACTCATTCATGCAACTTAGATTTAGGATCATATAATAAAAAACAGAAATCAAGCACCCCTCAACTTCTCTTTTAAATTATATGTAGGAAAAAAATAGAAGAACATGGCAACTCAAACCAGAGCAAAAAAGAAAAACGCAAGCCTTCCTAAGCTGAAGTAACCAACTTCTTACTTCTAACTGAAAATTATTTGTGAAAATGAAATACAGCTGTTACAAAAATGACAAGGAAATAACTACACAAATCAAGAACAAGATAGATCACACATAAAGCATTTATCAAGAAAACTCATTTACAGTATCTTGGATGAAAGGTGATATAATTCAGTGTTAAAGAAAGGTTCATGAAACATTATCAAAGTTGAATAGTGACAGAGACTAATACGAAACCCCAAAGCTGTGCTTTTCAGTATTCTAAATTTAATCAGAGTATTGGTAATTAACAACAGAAGACTTACAGAGTCCTCACTGAGTTGCAAAGAAAAAAAAAATCTTTAGAGAAATAACATCTCACATAACTACCAACCTTACTGATAAAAAGTGTAAATATTTATAGAGAATGTGAGCAGATCCTAAAGTTTATTTCTTTGTTTGGTTTTTTGTGTTGTTTTTTTTTAAATGTTAGCCATCTCAAAGACATCAAACTTTCACCTTCCTTTTCTCTAAAACCCTCTGTTGAAAACCGAGCCCTTCTAAACCAACTCCGATGTCCTTTGGGAACTTCTTTAGCTGCTAAGTAAAAGGGTGGAAAGAATGTTAAATCCACAAGAGATCCTCCCTGTTAACTCTTTGAGACAAGCACATATAAGTAAGGTATTCCCCCTTTTGATTATTGCTACCATAGTGCTGTGAAAGTCTTAAGTCCTATCAGAGCTATACTTTAAAGGCATTTGTATTATGACTCAGAAACCAAACCTGCTCAAACACTCTCACTAGTAGCCCCATTTCTGCTTCCCCTCAAGACCTGCAAACACATTTCCATCATCATCACCTGCAGCACTGTCATCAAATGAGGGCCCTCATGAACCTGTGCAAGTCCCCTCTCAAGCCCTCTGATCACTATTCTCTTCCAAAATAACACCTAGAGCAACGAGTGAAGAAGTTTATGTCTCATCAGTGAGAAAATTATAGTGAACAGAATCACTTGCCTGTGCTCCAGGTGTCTCCATGTGTGAAATGGAGAAAATAATACCAAGTACTGAATTTACTTTGCCACAAAACTGTTAAAAAGCTTTCGTTAAGTGAAAACACCAGTGCTCTACATCTGGCCTCCTGACTTCGGATCTCTGAGCCCGACAGAGTAAGTACTTCCACCTGGTATGTAATTTCTAGATAGGGCACTGTTCCCACTTAGTAACCCTACAATGAAATTACGTACCGGCAGGCTTATCTGCAGGATCGCAACCTCAGGTCCTGCCTTCGATGTTCACAAGCGATGACTGCAGAGGGATTCCCTGCATACACAGTGGACTGCCTATGAAGCGATGAGCTGCAGAAATCGAGCCAAATTCTCCTCCACCTACCAGATGCTCAAAAGTACGAGGCACAATTAATCACACACGCACCCCCCTCCGTTCTTTCGCTAAGGGTTTAAAACTGAAACACCGTCCGGGAATTCGTTATCCCCACCACCCACTCCCACCTCCTCACCCCTCTCACCACAGTTTAACGCGGCCCCGACCCCCCCAGCTCCCGCACCTCTCTCCGCCCGTTGGCGACAGGCCCTCACCTCACCGCCCGGCACCTTCCCTCCCCCCAAAAAACCGCTTTTTTCTAACCGAAACTCGTTACTTACGAGGCCGGGACACCTCTCGCCCCCCGGCGCCACACAGACAGACGGACGGACGGACTGACTGACGAAACGCCCGCTCCCCGCGCGCGCCGCC